AGACCCACCCGGGCCTGACAACCAGGGGCTGGCGGGGCACACTGACCCCTGTCAGCTGGGCCCTGCCCCCCGCCACCCCCCTGCCTGTGGGCCTAGAGCTGGGGGCGGACAGCTGGGAGGTGACCAGTAGTGACCTCATGACATGGCCTGAGCCTGTGCTCGGGGCGGGCGCTGCTGCGGTCACATCAGGCCAGGCCAGGGCTTCCCTCCTGAGGCCTGACGTGCCATGGGCAGCCCCAGGATGCAGGGCAAGGAGGTCCTGCTGGCCATGGCCCCCACCACCTCTGGAGGTCCTGGGGAGTCGGAGTGGTGGAGGGTTCCAGGACCTTTCAAGACTGTGGTGAAAACAGACCGGCGGGCAGGGGGGCAGCGGTGTGTGTTCCTGGGATCCCACCGTCCACGGAGGGGCCGGGGAGCGGCCGGGCAGCCGCTGAGGGGGCCATTCACATCGGTCCATCAGGGGCCAGGGAGGGCGCCCACAGCAGTGCCTCCCCCACAGGGTCCTGCCACCTGGACGGGACTGGCGTGGGACAAGGCGGCAGCCCAGGGCCACAGAGGCGTGGGCCGTTATGGGCAGCCATCATTTTCTGTTCATTAGCCCATTAGCCAGTTGGTCCCCAACTTGTACCCCGAGGGGCCCTTCCTATCCAGGCCCCGCCCACGCCCCACAGGACCAGGCACCGGCAGGCCTCCGGGACACCCCCTCCATCGGGGATGGTGCTGCCAAGGCCTGTGCAGCTGCAGGAGCCCCCCACTCTCCTGTCCCTGAGCCCCCAGCCCTCGGGGGGCAGGCACAGTGCCCACCACGTGGAAACAACCAGTGCCACGCTCCTCCTCCTGCTGCCACCCCCTTGGCATCTCCAAGGAGCAGAGAGGCAGCTCCTTGTCCCGTGTCCCCGTGTCCTGTGCCGTGTGGCACCAGCACTGCCTCCTGGCCACTGGGTTAGTGAGGTCCAGTCTCAGGCTGTGGGTTCTTTATGTCACCTGCAATGATGGCGTCCCGCCACTAGGGGTGGTGGCGCCTCAGGTCCTGATCCCTGTGATCCCTTGATATTCAGGTAACTGTCTTAATTTTTCAAGACTCTCTCTCTCTCTCTCTCTCTCTCTCTCTCTCTCTGGCTCCAGTGACGGCCTGAGGCCCATGTGGCCTCTCGTCCCGGCCTGGCCCTGCCATGCTCTGTCACTGAGGACCCGACACCCATGGGTGGGTCCCCACGCTTCAAGAGAGGGGCGGACCCTGGCCGGCGTGCTCAGTGGATAGAGCATCGGGCTGAGGACCAAAGGGTCCCGGGTTCGATTCCGGTCAAGGGCATGTACCTTGGCTGCAGGCTCCTCCCCACTCGGTCCCTGGCTGGGGTGCAGGCAGCGGGCAACCAATCGCTGTGTCTCTCTCACATCAATGCTTCTCTCTGTCTTTCCCTCTCTCTCCCTCTCTTCCTAAAAACCAATGGAACCATATCCCCGGGTGAGGATTAACCAAAAAAAAAAAAAGTCAAAGAGAGGGGGTGGCTCCGGGGAGTCCCCCAGCCTCTCCCGTTCTCACACCAACAGATGTCGGCCATTGAGACCATGACGGAGAAGCTGGAGAGCTTCGCGGCCATGAAGGCGGACTCCAGCGCCCTGCAGCCCCTGCCCCATCACCCCTTCAACTTCCGCTCCCCGCCCCCCACGCTCTCCGACCCCATCCTCAGGAAGGGCAAGGAGCGCTACACCTGCAGGTGAGCCTCCCGGGGGCCCTGGGCTGGTGGGCGCCCTGGGGGGGGCGGGGTGGCCACAGGTGACAGCACAGCCCGTGGCCCTGCTTCCCCAGGGAAACCCCAGTCACAGCCGGCAGCAGCGCAGCAACAAATGGTCC